CCCGTCCTGTATCCCGACCTGCGGGGGCCATGCTGGTAGCATTTACACCAGGGACTTTGGCGAATGGTGCATATGAGGGTGTTGTTAAACCTTTACCAGCGTGTCACTGCCGCAGGGGTGAGAGGGGTGCAGCCCCTACGGTCTCCAGAAGCCCCCCTCAAACCCCTGCTCACTCCCCGCACCGGAAATGCGTGGGTACCGGTTCATTTTCTGCACCCGGGAGGCCTTTCCCTCCAATTATCCGGGACCTCTGGCTCCGCCCACGACCTTCCCGCCTCGGAGCCTCAGCGGGCGGCGCTATGCTGCACCGTGGCCGCTGGAGGGCAGTGTTGCCACAGCCAAGCGCTCCACCTGGAAGGAGCCGGGTTGGAGCTCGCTGGCCCTGCATCTGGGCCCCCAGGGCCCGTGACCCTCCCCCGGAAATGGAGGAGGGAGGGGTGAGGACTCAAACGTCAGTGTCCTTACACCCGGAGAGTGACTTCAAGGTTGGAAATCACAAGAGTCACTGGGCACGGTGCCATCCAAGCCCTTGGGTCCCACTTGCCAGCCCTGTGACCGGCCATCGCACTGTGGCGAGCCTCAGTGTCCCCATCTGTGAAGCAAGGAGGATGCAGTATTGAGTTCAGAGGGCCTTGCGATGACGATGACGAAATGACAGAGCATTAAAGAGCCCGCCTGGCGCCTGGCACGCGTGAGCCCGCAGGGCGGTCAGCTACGGTCACTGTCCGAGTCCACGCAGTGCCTCGGTGGCCTCACCCCCGCTGAGCTCAGCCTCGGCACTGTGTACCATGATGTTGCATTTTACGGGACGCGACACTGAGGGACAGAGACGGGCAGTGACTCAGCACAGCCGAAGCCACAAGGGGTCCCCCCCCCCCCCCCCGCCTCCACTGCCTCCTGGGGTGGACTCCCTGGGGCGGGCTCAGCACCCCTGTCTGAGCCCCATTCCTTCCTTGGAAAGTGAGACTGGCCGTCACCGAGTCATTGGCAGAGGCGGTGGCAGTGAGTGGGGATGCTCAGAACAAAGGAGCCATCCGTCAGCTCTTCACGCAACTCAACTCCCGTTCGTGCTGCTCCCAACGTGTGCCAGGCCCCTGGCAACAGTGTAGGGCGAGCCCGGGCCGTGCCTGCATGGCACTGGCCTGGGAAAGGAGGCTCGTGGGCTCCAGTGGCCTCCTCTGGGCGCCAGCATCGCTCCCCGCCAGGCTCTGGCACTTAAGAGGCAGGCAAGGCACCTTTAACACCCTCCTTCCGTCCTTCCCCTCACTTGCACACAGACACGCACTTGCATACATGTGCACATGCGTGCACACATGCACATGCAACCATATGTACACACACATATACACGTGCACATGTGGTGACGCCCTAAGCCTCAGCACCTCAGAATGTGACTGTACTTGGAGATGGGCCTTTAAGGAGACAATTAAGTTAAAACTAGGCCATTAGGGTGGGCCCTGCCCCGCCGTGATCCGATATGACGGGTCCCCTTATAACAAGAGGAAATTACGACGCAGACACACAGAAGGAGCACATGTGAGCACAGGGAGAGCACAGCCATCCGCAAGCCAAGGAGCGAGGCTCGGAAGAACCCAGCCCCGGCGTCTGGGTGGGGAACCGCAGCCAGCACAGCGCTGGGGCGGGAACAAAGACGCCGCTGCTGTCCGCGCTGCGCGGGAGCCGCTGGCCACCAGGGGGCAGCCTCT